TTAAGCTATTTTAGTCTTTGATTAATTTATCTATAATTCTTTGATGCTATAATAGCCTCTTCCCAAATCCAAAGAAAATGAGAATGGGGAAGGAGGGTCTCCAAATAGACACACTTAGAGGAATAAATGTGTGTTTCTTCAATGACAAAAATATCTGCAAAAACCAATGAATATCTCAAAAGATGTAACATTCTTGGGCCTTTTGAAACACATACGGGAGTATGCAGTATATTTCACTTCATTGTGATAGCATTACTGTAATCCTTCATTTTTATTATGAGAATCGTAGCCTGGCATCAAGAAAAATTAAATCACTAATACGCAAATAGTACATGTATTATATATTCTAGAAAGATGTCTCTAGGATGAAGATCCTTGATGTCAAAGATCATGTTTATCTTGTGCTAAAAATAGTATTTGACGTGTAGTAGGCGCTGAAGAAATGCTTGTTAAATTAATGGGTGATTTCGCTTTAATGTGGCTAAGACGATTTTTATTCATTTTAAAGGAATACACTCAATTATTATTCAGAAATCTTGACTAGTTGAAGAATTCAAGGTGCTCGTTTCTTTTGGAATTTTGTAATAAATATTGATTCAGGTGTCATTTCATTCAGCTCCATCTCAGCAGAAGCCTAATACGTTTATTTTGTAGTTTCTACTCTCCTTGAGAAAAAAAGTATTGACTTAACTGGCAACACAGCCACAGCACCCCATAATCGGAGAATCACTTTAGATTAAAGTTTAAAGATTTTAATGGGACTTAGAGGTCTTGTCTTCTTTCTAGAAATCTTTTGTCCAAAGCCTCCGGCTATCCTTCATGGGAGACACACAGGCACTCCTTTGGGAGATATTCCCTATGGAGAAGAAATATCCTACACGTGTGACCCCTACCCGGACACAGGGGTGACCTTCGACCTCATCGGGGCAAGCACCATCCGCTGCACAAGTGACAGTCTAGGGAATGGGATTTGGAGCGGCCCCGCCCCTCGCTGTGAGCTTTCTGTTCCTGCCGGTCAGTACCCGCTTCCACATATCCTAAATGGGGTCAGAATACCCAGACCCAATCCTTTGTGTGTCTATAATAAAAGTATGGCGTTTGTGAACTTAGCTTCATCCTAAGCAGAAGTGTCAAAATTACACGTCACAGCTAAAACAGATGGGTTCCAGCAGTGACAAGATGTGTTTGAACAGGTGAAGTGCCAACAACGCTTCTTGCGGGCGGACTGGAGCAAGGTGGGGTAAAAGGAATGAGGGGAGGTCGGAGGGGAGGCAGTAAGGAGCGGATTATACAAATCAGGAAGAAAAATGCATTCATTGGAGAGGACATGAGAACAACTGCCTACGAGCACTACTCAGTGTCAGGGTAGCTGATGCACACTCTCCTCAAGTTCACGAGGGCTATTGTGGGTGCAAAGGACAAAACTGGTGATTTGGGTTTCATTTAGCTCAGGCTTTAGCGAGTCTTCTGCTGGGTGGGCCTTGTAAGCAAAAAGGTTTTCTTTGTCTTTGTGACTTACGACCTTGGCTAAAAGTACGCCCATTTATCAGCTCGCCTCTGGGCCCTGTCTACATCTTTGTTCTTGAACTGTTCCACTCTGGGGTGAGAAGCAAGGAAAGTGTAGTCCAGAGGAAAGAGTACAAAAAGGAAGGAGCTATTTCTTCTTAAGGACTGGAAAGTTGCCTGGTCCTTTAAGGCCAAACGTCAGGCCTTTCTAAGAAGGGAAGCTAGAGTAGATTAGGGATGTGACAGCAGCCTTGGAACACTACGTCATCCTCAGGGGATCCCTGTTTTGTTCTTGTCCTTAAATGCTTGGCTCAGCATCAGAAGAAGAGTGGTGTATCAGTTTGCTAGGGCTGCTGTAACAAATTACTACAAACCAGGAGGCTTAAAACAAGAGAAATGGATTATCTTACAGTTTTGTAGGCTAGAAGTCTGAAATCAAGGTGTTGGCAGGGCCTCCACTCCCTCCTAAGGCTCAAGAGGACACCCTCTCCTTGCCTCTTCCAGCTTCCAGTGGCTCCTGGCATTCCTTGGCTTGTGGGCGCATCACTCCCATTCCTGCCTCCATCCTCACACGGCCTTCTCTATGTCTCTATGTCTCAACCCCTCCTCTCCTTTCCCTTAGGGCCTTCCCTAAATCCAGGATGATCTCATCTTGAGTTCCTTACCTTAATTACATCAGACAAGACCATTATTCCAAATAAGTTCCCATTCTGAAGTTCCGGGTGGATATATATTTTGGGGCGACAACATTCAAACCATACACGTGGTAATTGCTATTCAGTGCCACAGAGGCAGCTTATGGTGAGCACCCTGAGAATGGAGTAGGGAGGAGTAGATGGAGAGAGATGATAAAATATGTTCTGCTACACATGAGTGCATTAGCACTGATAAATGAGGATATTGATGGCGCTATGGTAGGAGGCCTGATATCTGGGACTACGGGCTGAAGTCCACACTTTGGTGAAATAAGAGCAGGAAGACCAGAAGCCGAATGGTTTTCCAAGTAGTAAAAATTTCCTGATAAGTAGATGCCATTGAAAAGCTCCGTCCTAAGGTAACTTCTAGGGGAGGAAAATCTTTTACTGTTATTGTAATTCTCTTTGTTTCTGTGGTCCTATCAGCTGAATTGAAGAGAAAGAGGATGTATGGTGGAAGTCTCTCTGCTAATTTTGGAATTCCTCTGGTTTTGTGCTCCAGGTCACTGTGAAACCCCAGAGCAGTTTTCATTTGCCAGTCCTATAACCCCAACTGATGAGTCCAAGTTTCCAGTTGGCACATCTTTGAACTATGAATGCCACCCTGGGTATTTTGGGAGCATGTTCTCTATCACCTGCCTAGAAAACTTGGTCTGGTCAAGTGTCAAAGACATCTGTAGGCGTAAGTAACGCTGCCCTGGGAGCTATTTCCTGTCTGTCAAAGCATTTGTGGGATCAGATTTAATTTGTTCAAAATTTGGAAGCAAGATGTCTAAGTTTGCCCAAGGTGTTTAAACGGACAGTGATCTTGTAAGTCACTCCTTAATCCTTGGAGTTTCTACACCTTGACTATATATTCATTTCATGGAAATGGCTCTCATATCAGGAATTGAAGAGAAAATTTCCGTTCACTGGAGATCACCCTGGAAGGCTAAAACCACGAAGTGAATGAAACAGGGGCATGAAAGAAAAGTCTATGCGTTGCAGTGAACCATACTTGGGTAACTAAAGATAGGGAGGAAATCTCAAATTTTGAGGCCTTCAATTTCAGCTGGTAGGATGACAGTAGAACTCTTTAGCCATAAATGACCTTTATTAGGAGATGCAAGGTAGTCCATAGCTGCGTGATTCCTAGGTTGTCTCGTAAGTTTCCCCAAAACAGCCAATTCCATGGGACAATCAGAACTATATATGCTGTTCAATATGCTACACTCCAGTTTGAACCTTATAAGCACAGGTAAATTGAACTCTACATTTAGTCCTAAATTCTGCATCTTCCCCCCAGGAAAATCATGTGGAGCTCCTCCAGAACCCTTCCATGGAACAGTGCATATAAACACAGATACCCAGTTTGGATCAATAGTTAATTATTCTTGTAATGAAGGGTAAGTTGGGAGCACTATCTCTTGAATACGAGCTCCAGAACAATGCCAATCACTGACTGAATCATAGAAAAACTAGACTACTGCCACTTGTACTTTAAAAAGTAATCAATAGGACTATTTCTGGACAGAGATGGTAGTTTGGACATAGGCGTATACCCAAAGGGATATAAAAAGGAAGGAACAATCTGCATCTGTATTGTAAACTAGGTGACTGGGCCATGCTCCTGCCAGGAGGAGATGTAAAACCTGAAAAAGCATTCATTGGATGAACAGGATCAGCCTGCAAAGAAGTAAAAGGAAAAAAGTAGTTGAACCATGCAAACCTCCTTACTGAGCTCAGTAAGTGCTATAGTTAAGTTGGAGAACCCCGAAGCAGGGGTTGGAAAGGTAAATCCTAAACGTAACAGCAGCTCTGGGAAGTGTATGCATTAAAGTGCACACGAGGGGTTAAGGGGACAGAAATGGGGTTCTCACTCTTGACTTTCTCTTGGGACAAGTAACCATATCAGAAGCCATTGCCCCAACTTAGAAGGAGCTATTAAGGAATGTATACTAATTTTCAGTTGCCACAATAAATTCAGAGAAGAAAAAATTATATATATATATGTTAAATTTTCCTGCAAAAACTGCCCATGGTCATCAGCCCTATTCTCTTCTCTCTGACCTATTGTACAATGATCCAACCAGTTTAAAATTGGGTAAATTCATCTCTTCTCTCTTTTTCTGAGCCTGGGAGATTTAAACCACTTTTCACACAATCTCTTGACCAACCCTTTCTCACTTCCCATTGTGAATAAGCATAGATCTCTCTCTGGTGACCAAACCAGAATATCACCAAATCTAAGGTCAGATACAGCGACTGAAAATAAAACAATCTGAGAAGTCAGAGAAATACTCATCTGCAAAACAGTTTATCTCCAATAAACAGGATAAGATCTTTCAGAAATCTCTCATGTGTTTGCAGCATAGAATCTATGGAACTGTAAGAGGCATTTATAAGATTGAATGATCTAATACGAGAACAGTTTACATATGGATAAAACACACAGGAGTCTTAAAAGAAGTGGCCACCAGTAAATCAGATCCTCTGGGAAAAAACCAAAGAGATAATGAAGAGATAAGTGTAAATTATTCAGAATTCATCAAGGACCAATCTAGAAATTACACATACACACAGAGAGAAATAAAACCAAACCCCATAAAAAATAAAAGAAGAAATCAGAATGAGAAGCATTAATAAGCACTTAATGTAAGACAATTTCTCAGACTAGAAAGAAAAAGACTAGGTTATTTGATTCTTGAAGGCTAGATTAATGATAAAGGGCCCTGGCCCCACATGGAAGAAAAAATACAAAATTCAGATATAAAAAAATACTGTCACTATCCAGAGATAAAATCAACAAAAAAGAATAAATTCAGATTAGTATCCATCTTCTATTCTGTAACACGAAATAGCAGAAGTTAGTATTTTGGGAGAAAATATTGTGCGATTGTACTCAGCCAAGCTACCATTCATCTGCAAGGCAGAGATACGTAGTCTTACATGAGCAAAAACTGCAAATATATACCAAATAGATATACTGCCTACAAAAAGAAACTTTCCCATAAACCTGTGCATAGACTTTTTAAAGAAGAAATGAAAATTTAGAATGGTGTCATATCAAAGAAATACTAGTGAGGCACGAAACTAGTTAAATGGAGTCACCAAAATTGTCATTTTTAAGGTGAATGGAAGGACTAAATCTTGAAAGAGAATTTATTTACCAAGAAAAGAAGCAGAATAAACTTGCTATAAAATAATAGATTTATCACTACAAGTAGGAAGTTAGGGATGAACTAATAAAGACTATGTTAAATTCATAACACATAGGGGATAGTAGATAATACATATTTTTGACATAAAAAAAGATAAAATGGTATTCCATACCAGTATAAAATCAAAATATATACATTCAAAATTATAAAGACAATCCAAAAAAGTGAAACCACTTGTTCCATACAACAAAAGAGAAGTGAGACAAACAAAAGCAAGGACATTTTTCTTGTGGGAAACCTGCATCAGCAGAATGGTGTTGGCCCTCTACAGTGCTGAGTCACAGCCTTTGGAATTCTTAAATAAATAAAAGGGAAAGCATGCTGTAAGCAAGATCAAACCCATCAGTTATGACAGGAAATGCGAATGACTTAAATTCCCCCTTTTCAAAGACAATGACTTCTAAATATAGTAAAGAAATAATGTCTATGTAACATTTAAAGGAAACATTCCTAAAATAAAATTCAGAAAATTTCCATTTGCAATAACATGGAAAAGAATAAAACAGAAATAAATTTAATCAAGGAGGCACAAGGCTTGTACACTGAAAACTACAAAACATTGCTGAAGGACGTGGTAGAAGACCTCAATAAATGGAAAGCCACCTGTGTTGGTGGATTAGAAGACTTAACACTGTTAGGATGAAAATACTGCCCAAAGTGATATATAGATTCAATGCAATCCCTATCAAGCACTATTCGCAATAGTCAAGATATGGAATCCACCTAAGTGTCCATCAGCGGATGAATGGATAAAGAAAATGTAGTATATATACACAATGGAATATTATTCAGCTATAAAAAGAAATGAAATTCTGTCATTTGAAGCAATGTGGAGGGAACTAGAGGTCATTCCATTAAGCGAGATAAGCCAGGCACAGAAAGACAAATAACACATATTCTCACTCCCTTGTGGGAGCTAAAAAAGTAATCTCATGGTAGTGGAGAGTAGGACGGTGGTTACAAGAGGCTGGGGAGGCAAGGAGAAGTCGGGAATAGTGAGAAGTTGATTAATGGGTACAAAAATACAGTTAGATAGAAGGAATAAGTTCGAGTATTCAGTAGTACAGTAGGGAACTTATAGTTAATGATAATTTATTGTATATTTCAAAATAGCTAGAAGAGAAGAATAGTAATGTTCTTAACACAAAGAAAAGATCAATGTTTGAGATGATGGATATCCCAATTATCCTGACTTGATCATTACACATGATATTCATGTACCAAAATATCACATGTACTCTGCAATGTATGTACAACTAAAATATATCAATAAAAATACAAAAAAAAAATCCCAACAATATTTTTTTACAGAAATGGAAAAAAATTGTAAAAATGCATATGGAATTTCAAGGGACCCAGAATAGCCAAATAATTTTTAAAAAGAACAAAGTTGAAGGATTCATACTTCCTGATTTGAAAACTTACTGCAAAGTTACAGGTAATTAAAACTGTGTTCTTACATGAGGCTGGACATATAGACCAATGGAGTAGAGTTGATATCCCAGAAATAAACCCTCACATCTATGGTCAGTTAAATTTTTTAATAAAGTTGCCAAGACCATTCAATGGGGAGAAAGCAATCTCTTTAGCAAATGGTCCTGGAAAAACTGGATATCCACAAGTAAAAGAATGAAGTTGCACCCTTAACTTGCACCATGTACAAAAATTAACTCAAAATGAATCAGAGACCTGAATTTAAGATCTAAAACTATAAAACTCTTAAAGGAAAATATAGGGACAAATCTTCATGACCTTGAATTTGACAACGGTCTCTTGAATATGACACCAAAAGCATAGGAAGAAATAGATAAACTGGGCTTCATTAAAATTTTAAACTTCTGCATCAAAAGACAGTATCAAGAGAGTGAAAAGACAACCCATGGGAGAAAATATTTTCAAATCATATATCTGATAAGGATTTAATATTCAGTATATACTAAGACCCCCTAAAACTAAGTGAAAAAACAACCCAATTTGAAAATGGGCAAAGGACTTGAATAGACATTTCTCCAAAGAAGATCTACAAATGGCCAATAAACACATGAAAAGATGCACAATATTATTAGTCATTAGGGAAATGCAAATCAAACTCATTTCATGCCTATTAGGATGGTATAATAATAGTAATTTTTTTAAAAAATGGAAAATAAAAAGTGTTGAGGATATGGAGGAACTGAAACCCTTCTTCACTGCTGGTGGGAATCTAAAATGGTGCAGCCACTGTGGAAAACAGTTTGGCAATTCATCAAAAAGTTAAACATATACTTAACCCCCCT